AACACACTAACTGGGATCGATTGCCACGTTCTGACATAAATATGGGATCGGTTGCCACGTTTCGACATAAATATGGGATCGGCTGCCACGTTTCGGCACACTAACTTGGATCGGGTACCACAAACTGGTATGCTAATAGTTTGGGTTTGGGTTCCATGAGAGGACCATTGAATTGGGTTCCATGAGAGGACCATTGAATTGGGTTCCGTGAGAGGACCATTGAATTGTGTTGTGTATCTACTTGTGATGAGTTCGTTCATATCTAATGATGATTGATATTGGAAGACAGTATGTTGCTCTAAATTGATATAACTGTGAGAATCGTGAAGTTGTTCATTGTTCGTATATGTTGATGATATTGTATATGTTCGATATGTGCATGTGATTATACTGTTGTATTGACTAATGTATGTTACACTTAATGAGATAGCCGTGTGATCCTACCAGTACACTGTGGTTGTGTACGATATTGCACTTGCTCTTTCTTTGTTGAGTACAGGGCATCTTAAGGTGGCTATTGATAGACCTCAGCTAGGTGACTATTGAGCGTGACCGGATTCAAGGGTGAGCCAGCTCTTTCAGGCTGTCATGGATCTCTCTTGTTTAAGTCCATTCTTTTCGGACTCAGACTATTGGTTTAAGGTGTTGTTTAGTTTCGGGGTTGTACCACTTGTTCTTAGACTTGTCGTTCATAAAGTTTTGGTACAATGACTTTCAGGTTCTAGGGGTTCAATTTCCGCATTAGTTTGGTTAATTAATTGTTTAAAAACCTTTGGACTTTATGGGGACTCCATTTTTATTGTCATTTAAACATGCTTCTGTATCTTTAAATGCATAGTTTTTGGTTAAGTTGTTTAGTCTGGTTTGTAGTAATGGTTCTCCCACAAAAGGGTTAGTGTGGGTGTCAATCATGATGGTCTGGGTCGTGCCACCGATGTGGCACCTTTCTTTGGCTAGAATTGCCAATTACTCTTTTTTAATCAATTTTTTGGATTTTTTCCCTTAATTTGTTCTTTAAAAAAAATAAATCAGAAAATAGGTACACTTAACTTTTCTCGTTCTTCATTATTACTACATATTTATATCTTCCTAATATTTCTCTTTCTCCCACTTTTATCTTCCGTTTTTATTCAAAATAATTATGCTTTTAAAAATTTCAGAAAATAACTACACTTACATTTTCTCTTTCCTCATTAATATTATACTATTTATGTCTTTCCAAGATTCCTTCTTTTGCCTTCTTTATTTAATTTAAAACATTTATAAATATAATTGTAACTAAAATATTACAAATGTAATTGTTATTTATAAATATATAGATAAATAAATAAAATCAGATATAAGCAAAGTTATTTTTATCTCTCTTTTTTCTCCTTTTTGGATTTTTATTCTTTATTTTTACAATTAATTAATTTAAAAAATTCATCTTTATAACGCACACCTCTACTTATTTATAAAGGATAGTCTTAATTATATTAATAAAATACTCATAACTATCTAATCTTCCATATTTATAACTTTCATTATTTAATTTTGCATATGTTAAAAGATGGGAGAAGAAATTTTTACTTATTTTATTTTTTATAATTAAAAATATATTTATTCAATTCAATCAATTTTTCACCTCCCTCCATAATTACCTTCTTTATTAGAGATTTTAATATATATATTCATGCATTCATTCACATTCAATTTTTATAATTCTTAATTAATTTTATTAATGTGGAGTAATAATATATTAAAAGATGGGAGATGAAAAGACAAAAACTAACTATGCATATATGTATCAACCATTTTAGTTTAGTTGTTCTTGAGAAATGCTCCAACATAATTATCAATGTATTTTAATTTTTGTATATAGTAGCAATTCATCTAATGAGATGATGTATTGATGAATATTTATCTTAATTACGCTTATTTATATGTGTTTTATTCTCAGTCAATTTCTTTATACGCTGAGATTTCTAATCTTATTGGTTGAAAGTTTTATATTTTTACTTCATTACAATTTTTTGCTCAACATTTGTTAAATTTTAATGATTCGTGCTATGTCATCTATATCGAGAAGCATGGTACATATAATGAATTTCTTCTAAGGTAAATTTATGCACTCAATTTTTAAATTCATAAAATAAATTCTGCTCCTATTTTATTTCAATTTCTATTATGATGTATATTTTCTTAGATTAAATTTGTTCAAGAATATGATTAGTGATTGATATTGTGTAACTTTGAAAACTATTATGAAGTTTATGACTGAAAAATATAGGTAAAAGTTAATTTCATAACAAGAAATTAAAATGAAAATAAGAACTCTCCTATTACAAATATATATAGGTTATTTTTTGTCTTTTCATCTCTCATCTGTTAATACATTATTACTTCACATCAATAAATTAATTAAGAATTATACAAATTGAAGGTGGATGAATACATGAATATATATATTAAAATGTCCTAATAAAGAAAGCAATTATAGTAGAAGGTGAAAAGTTGATTGAATTGAATAAATATTTTTTCATCTATATTGAGAAGCTTGGTACATATACCAGATTTCTTCTAAGATAATTTTATGGACTCAATTTTTAAATTCATAAAAATAAACTTTGTTCCTATTTGATTTGAGTATTATATGAACCCTTTTGTGTTACCTTTATTTGCGCCGCTATTATATAAATTGGCAGCATCGATGTCAGAATGGGGCATTTTTGTATGCAGGTGGAAGCGTTTCATAGTTTATTTTTTAAGTCTGATTAGTTGCTACTCAGTCGTTCTAACCTACTAAGTACATGTGGATTGTATTCACCCCTACTTTTGTTATCTTTTAATACAAATCCTAGTCAGGGTGATCTTCGTAGCGCATGATCAAATCTAACAATTTCTTCTCATTCGGATTTGTGGTGAGATCTTGTTTATTAGATCGCCATTGGCCTCCATCTTTCATTTACCGTCTTTAATCTCCTTTCGAAGACTTGAGATGTATTTCAGAATCTAGAAATGTACTAGATGCAGGTTTTGGGAACTTTTTGTTGTTTTCATATTGGTTGTGGCCTTACTTCCCTTTGAATGTTTCGTATGGGTTATTTCTTTCGGCTTACACATCATTTTTGAGGTTCTCGGGATGTGTGTCATCATGGCCTCGACTTTTGGGTTTTGACAAAAGTCAACCTCTGAAGTCCATCCCACGGGTGGCATCTTTGGTCCATGAAACTTTGTACAGGTCATAAATGCCTTTCGTAAAAGTACTTTCTACATACTTCAACAAACTTTTTGCATCTTTCCTAGTTTAGTTGAGTTATACACTTCCGAGGCGTTACATGTACGACATCCCATGGTTTCCATTTAAAAAATAAAAGCCTTTTTTTTTCTTATTTATTCCTCCATAGTGATTGCATTTTAGAGAAAAAAATTCTTATTTTTCTTTTTACTTTCTTCAGAGGGTACGACATCCCTTGATTGTCATTCTAGAAAATCAAATTCTCGTTTTCATGTCTTCACGGGGTATGACTTTCTTGGTTGCATTTTAGAAAAAACCCTATTTTTTATGTCTTCACGAAAATGAGCAAATCATAGTTCATAAATAAGATAACTAAATATCTTAGGACGGTGCATTAATAGACGACATATCTTCATGATTCTTTTAGAAATAAATGTTTGGAATTTAATGGTAATATAGACTTCCAAGTACACAATTTTATAAAAAGTAATATAAATCAACAATATATAGTAGTAATTAGCAAAAAAAAAACAAACTTATGAGTCAAATTTCTTACATTTTAAAAAAAATAAAATCACAACTAGAAAGTTGAAATCCTACTTCTTGGAGAATTTGAAATTTCAAATTGAAGTTGAAAATTTTTGTTCACATTTCATAAACAAACAATAACTTGTCAAGTGTATCCCACAAAGTGAAGTTCAGATAGGATAAAGTGTATGTTGATCTCACCTCTCTCTCATAGAAAGAGAGGTTGCTTCCGATAAACTTTTTGCTCAAGATCAAATAGTCCAAACATTTCGCAAAAGAAGTAACAGAAGTACAAGAAATATTAGTCAATAACAAAAACAACAGATAGTAACATAACCAAAACTACAATACAATAATACAAGAATAAAGGTACAAGGAATTATCAACATATAGTAATAAAATTAAAAGGACAAGAAACTACAAAAGTAATACTACGAATGCTAACATGAATAGACAACAAGACAACACACTGCTACCTTCTAACCTTCTAGCCTAATCCATGTCCCCCACATACCCTCCTATTTTAAGGTCATGTCGGTAAATTGAAGTTGTGACATGCATGTCTTTTTTAATCACTTTTCACCAATATTTTTTCGGTCTACCTCTGCTCCTTCTGAAACCATCCATAGGCAAATATATACTAATAAATAAACATGAAAATACGTGATTTATTAATTCAACAACTTAGGATATTTTGATGCATTATTATTAATTATGTTTCGGTTATTTTGTAAAATTGTATAAGAGTTGAAGAAGTTTTGATAATTTTTCAAATTTTGAGATTTCTATATTTATGAGAAAAAAATAATAACTTAAGAAAGCCAAATTAAAATGTTAACTTCAAAGGGCCAAGTACCTCACACACAAAATCAAATAATACTAGGAGTACTAAGTATTTTTATAAACTGATCAGTAATTCCTATAAAATAGGGTAAGAAAAGCGGTGGAAGGACAAATATTCTTATAAAATAATTAGTATAGTTTCTAAAAACAGGCAACCACGCGTCAAACTTCTTATATATATATTTATAGCAACAGACTTGTACAAGACGTATTAATTCACTCCTGGTAATTGTTTTTTCTTTTCCATATTTCATTGCTATTCTCATACAACTAAATCACATTAGTTAATTGTGAAGCTTTGATTCATCTGCTATTCTTGAAGTTTTATGAATTAAATACAGTGTCTGTTTTCTTTATTCTTCTAGTATTTAATTACATGTATGCATGTGTATTTTCTTGAAGTGCAGATAAAATGGGAAGATCAAAAATCAAAGTGGAATTTTTTCAAGATCACAAGAAGAGGAAGTCAACTTTCGTGAATCGGAAAGCTGGCTTAGTCAAGAAAATCTCGGAACTCTCAATACTTTGTGACATCAAAGCATGCATGATCATATATGAAGGAAATAATCATCAAATGTGGCCGAATGATTCAAATGAAGTTAAAGAGCTGATAAATCTCTACAAAACCCAACCATTCGAAGGCCGAAGTAAAAGGGGTAAGACCTTGTCCAACTATTTTGAAGATGATCAAAAGAAAAGGGCTGAGGTCAAAGTAGAAAAGGATCGTCCCACTTGGGATTCAAGATTTGACTATTTCGAAAATGATGAAAAGAAAAAGGCTGAGATCAAAGTAGAAAAGGATCCCACCACTTGGGATTCAAGATTTGACTATTTCGAAAATGATGAAAAGAAAAAGGCTGAGATCAAAGTAGAAAAGTATCCCACTTGGAATTCAAGATTTGACTATTTATCCCAAAAAGAATTGCAAAATCTTGCTGAAGTTGTTGAGAAAAGGATGGAAAAGGCAAAAGGAAAAATCGAATTGTTGAAGAGCATGAATGTTCATATTGGAAGTTCCTCACTTTCTCATCAACAAATATGGGACTTCCCTGAGCTCATGAACAACAACAACTTGATGAACCATACTACTGTGTTGCCTATTTCTAATGTGAATTCTTTCACCGATCACAACAACTTCTTCCAATCAAATATTCCAATTAGTGGTGTGAATTCAATGGGAGCAGGGATGGATAATGGGCTTCTTACTATCGAGGATTATCAATTTTGCAATGCTAATTATTCTATGATGAATGATGCTGAAAACTGGTCGGCAAATGATGGAATTGGTTCAAGTTCGACAATGCAGCCTATGGCAAATAATGGAATTGGTTCAAGTTCAACAAGGCATCCTATGGTAAATAATGGAGTTGATTCAAGTTCAATAATGCATCCTATGGAAAATAATGGAGTTGGTTCAAGTTCGACAATGCAGCCTATGGGGAATAATGGGATTGATTCAACTTCGACAATGCAACTTATGGAGAATGGAATTGGTTCAAGTTCGACAGTGCAGCCTATAGATCAGTACCCTTTCATATACACCAACTCTACTCATGATATGTCTTATGGATTCGTGTAGATTTTATTTTTGATCATCAGTATAGTTAGCAGTTCCTCTTTTGTTTACTTTGAAGCTGTTGGATCAGAGTAAACAAACTAGGAACTGGCTTTTTTGTTAGATCAAATATTAAGTTTGGTGCTTCTCTTTTGTGATGATACATATTTGTTCACTTATACTTGTTCGTATTAGACTTTGCACGCCCTTTTACCATAAACACTGCCTAGTTTCAAAGGATGTTACACAGAAGATTCACTTCCAACATGAATGTGATAATGGACTAACTATACCGCAGATGAAATATGACAAGGTAATCTAGATATTACAACAATAAACGAAAAGTGTAAGAAGTTATACAACAACAGTGCATTGTATAACAACTTCAAAACAATCGTGCATTGTCTAACAACTTCCAATTATTTCAATGTAAGTTAAAATTCAATGTCATATATCAGAAAACTTAGTCAATAGAAGCATAGATATAAGAAAACTTTCATATCTATGCTTTTATGAAACATAGATGCTAAGATGAAACATAGATGCTAGTAGTGGAGAACTTCATTTACTTTGGAGGAATTCATTCCAGCTGAAAGTAGGAGCTGTATTACTTAGTCTCGCTTTATAAAAAGAAGATATCATGAATGAACTTCTATGAAATGATTTCATGGGATTCAGCCAATTGTCTTGATCGTGGAATATCATTGAGCAATAGAGAACCTGATCAGATCCGATGCAAACAATATCCACTTAGAGCGAGCCTTTACTTAGTGTAAAGTGCACTCACTCAGCAGGGAAATGGGAACAGCAGCTTAATGTTCAGATGTTGAATAACAACAGTGGCTTTAATGTTCAGATTTTAAATAAGAACAGATCAAGAAAATGGTGCACGTATTATACTGCACTTAAAGAGATTCAGGTATCTATCAACATATAAAGAGAGCATAGTTTTTCACATCTATATATTTTATGGAGCCTAAAAGCTTGAACTCCAACATTAAAGTGAATATGCTCATTCCGATCCCAAGTAAAACTGTAGATACTCTGCATTGCAGAACAAGAAAGCAACTTAACTCTAAGATATCTTTGTCTAATCAGTGTATACCTAAGGAAATTCAGAAGAAAAAAAAAGAGCGAAACTGGAGAAATATATAAATTAATATGCATAAAAAAGGATCAGATGAACAAACTTAAGCATTGAAAGTAGTCTTCATTTAATAAACCGTTGGTAACATTTGCAGGTTACCGGCCATTTCGTCATCCAAAATACGACCTAGGATTTTGAAAAAATCACATACTAAAATGCTAATCCCAAAAATCAAATTTATGTACATTGGTCGGTAGAATTCAATAGTGAGCAAATTCATAATCTCAGTATTCCAAACTCCTCAAAATCATTGAAAAGGGAACTTCAAAAACCAGCATAATACTACTTCTGTATGGGAATAGACACATACAATATACTTAAGTGTTTTCACTTTGGGGCTGCAGGAACACGAATTGAAAGTATATTTTGAATTAACCTGAAAAATCGATTGTAACAGAGCTGATTGGAAGAAGTCGTATGTGAATTCTTTGCTTGTCCATCTTCTCTTAGAGAAGTTGACAGTACGATTGGGGATCACCTCTCTCATTCATATTTCTAATAAGTTATCTTGTGCCACAAGCAATTCATGCTCACAAAGGTTGAAATTGTACATATTTGAATTGGATCATATGACCCATCTAAATTTACTTTGACCTCGGCTAAAAATTGGTTTAGATCCCAATTTGACTTGTTTAATCTCAATAATTTTAATATATTATTATTTATTTTTTATGATCATAATTTGAATTTCAACTCAAAATAATAATAATAATAATAATAATAAATAAAAATAAAAGTTACAAATGTATAGATGAATCATAAAAGATATAAAATAGATTGTAATTCATACTTTCAATATGGGAACATACATTACAACAATGCAAATAAAGAATTTTAAAACGGATTAAAATTGGAGATTACATTTGGCTGAACTGAAAATTCTCTTAAAATGGATTGAGATTGACCCAATTCAAATTATTTTGAGTTCAACTCATAAATCCTTAGCGAAATACTTATATTTTTGGCTTATTATAACATTCCTAACTAAGACTAGTTAATTATATCATACGTAAGAAGATAACTATTAAAAATAGGAAAAGAAGGCATCTGGCAATAACTCTGATTCTAATTGATCATAAATCCATCGACAACCTTAGTATTTCACGAAGTTATTTTTTAAAATATTGATAATAATCAGGAGGTTTATTAACAAATAGTTTTGATTGGATTACACAAAAAATCCAACAAAAAAGGAGATCATAAATTATTAATCTCAAAATATTCTTCAGCAACACATATAAATAATGCTTTGAGAATCTGTCACACCTAGCATTTATAAGTCTTTGGATTAGCTTTTCAAAGTACCATAAAGAATTTCACATGTGTGATTAGTCATATATAAATAGATAATTCACGATTATTCACTCAACAATAACATAGTGTGTGAGTATTTATTCCCCTAAGGCATTCACTCACATAAATATATCATTACCTAAGTATTTTGGACTATTCTCTTTTGGTATCGCACCTATGTCGATACAAACATAGGTGTAGGTGTGGGTGTAGATATGGAATCCGTACCGAATCAGATCAACTAATTTTTAGTACTTTGACTAAAATTAATGGAGAAATTAGGACAAATATAATAATTTTTGTTATCAAAACATTGTATACCTTGTTATAATTTTTTTTATGTAAGTTCCTTTCCTAATATCTCTATATATGATTCTCTTCTTGATCAATATTTTCTACTGAGAACTATACCTTCTTAGTTTTCCACTTAATGTCTCATAATTTAAACATATAACTCTATTTTTAGATATTTAAATTATTTTTAGTTGAATCCCCACGCTCGTATTCATACATGGATATATACCCCAAATTTTAAAATTGAAATCATGAAAGATCCAACCTCTTGATCCACACACGTATTAATTAAATATCCGAACCTGAATCTGAGTAGCTTAGATCATTATAACTACTTCCTTAAAGAAGATCATTTAAGTCCCTAACATCTATCCTTTGGAATATTGTAAAAATATAAGCTAACTTAATTCTCATATTTAAACGGACAAACACCAAAAGTTTAGAACTTTGATAAAATTCCATGAATTCCCACCCTTTTTTTAAACAAAAATTAGGTTCTACGACAAATTCATGTTTATTTTACAAATTCAAGAATCACCCATTGTTAATAATGCCTTTCAATAGGCTACAAAATTTCAATTAACCCTCAAATTATAGTAATTAATCAAGGGACTTACCTCGTGAAGATTCCCTAAAACTCCTTTCAATATTGTAAAAATATAAGCTAGCTTAATTCTCATATTTAAACGGCCAGCACCAAAGTTTAGAACTTTGATAAAATTCCATGAATTCCCACCTTTTTTAAAACAAAAATTAGGGTTCTAACACAAATTCATGTTTATTTTACAAATTCAAGAATCACATATTGCTAATAACGTCTTTCAATAGGCTACAAAATTTCAATTAACCCTCAAACTATAGTAATTACCTCGTGAAAATTCCCTAAAATCCCTTTCAATATTGTTCTTAAATTTGACTGCTGAAATCTAAGGATAAGAATGATCTTTCTAGCGTTAGTCCTTGTTAATTCGATATAACAATTATGAAAATTGAGTAATAACTCACCTTAGTTGATTAGGGAAAGCTCTAGGTTGTTTTCTCTCTCAAAAGTCAGTCAAAACAAAGTGAAATGGTAAATCCGACTAAAACATTTTTTTTGTTTTTCTGCAGTTTTAGACCTACGATTAGGGGTGTTCGTGGTTCGGTCATTGATTAAAACCAAAACCAAATCAATCTAGTCGGTTTTTTTAATTTCTAAGACCTAACCAAATCAAACGAAAAAAAAAACAGTCGGTTTGGTTATTGTCAGTTTGGTTCAGTTTTTCTGGTTTATTTAGTTGGAAAGTAATAGGTTTTTGAGGATGTACATATCTTGATAGACACAAACACCTAGTACATGAACAATCCATAGAAAAGTTATTGTCGGTTCAATTAAGCAATTAAACAATACTAGAGTTATCATTACACGAACAAAGTGATTCAATTAAGAGAAAGTGATGGGACTATTTTATGTGAAGTAGGGTAGGTAAAGACTATAATGGATTTTGATGGACTTAAACTTAGGATTGTTATAGTTTGGCTAAAGGTTGTTCTTGAGAAAATGGTAAAGTTAAACACTAAAGTTAATTAAAATTTAACAAAATATTTATATTTTATTTATGAATAATATACAAATAATTATAAAATTTAAATATCTAATTTATCGGTTTGATTTGGTTATTTTTGCGGTTATTTTTGTCACGCCCCGAGCCTACACCCTAGGCGGGACTGACACTCGAGAACCATTACTAGCCCCAAGAGAACCCTTGGCCTGACTTACTTACTCAGCGAAAGACTTAACTCATGAAGAAAAAATACTTTTAAAGTAAACTGAACTGCTCAATAAACACTTAGAATGTATCAAGATAACATTCACTGGCCAAAAGTGGCAACTCAAGTCTCAACCATTAAAACAGGAAATAGAAACTCAGTAACTAACATCTGACTGTCTATGAAGCCTCTAAACAACTGAGGTAGGTGTTGGGACAAGACCCACGACATCCTAATGAACTAGTAATAAAACTGAAAGCAATAAAAGGGATCCTCCGGAAGCAAGGAGGCTTACCACAAACTCTGAATGCTCAACTGGATCAACAATGCGCTAGATGTTGATCCTAGTTACCTGTGTCTGCATTATAATAACATACATGTCAAATTGCATCAGTACATTGAATGTACGAGTATGCGAGGGAAATTCTAAAACAAGATATAAGCTTGAAAGGAACTGAAGAACTTACCTGGCTCAACTCAACTCAACATAACTGAACTCATTTCAATATAAAGAATTTTTTAAAAAGCAAGTGAAATATAA